AAATTAAACCGTCCGGGGGAAGCCCCCGCCGCCGCCTTCCCCCGAGGCTTTCAAAGCCGCGGAGGGGCTCCGGCGGCGGGGCATCCGGCGTACAAGACGACCCCCGATTTTTGGGGGATGTTTTTTAACATCAGAGGTCGTCTTGTACGCCAGAATATACGGTAGTCCAGTATTATGTCTCTGGTACTGAGCACTGTCAGCTGCTTCAGAGGAAGATGCAAGAAATTTTATAGAAGGCAATTGAAGAATACAACAAAGTAGTTTGGTTTACATCTTTAGCTTGTTATTCAAAATCTTACTCAACCATCCTCCCCTTCTGTATAATACTATAGATATGCATTCCTAGAGTAGGGATATTCTGCTGGTGGGACTCTTGAAACCTGAGTTTAGTTCCCGGTGCAGTAACAGACATTCATGATCTAGAATAAGTCGCTTAGTGGAACCGGTTAGTAAAATGGAGATAATTACTTCTTTACTTCTAATGGGTGTTGTGAAAGATGAAAAGCCCTCATTAATGATTATGAAATGCTTAGATACTATTGAGATGAAGATAATATCAGTACAGAGAGCTCGTGTTTCCACCTCATAATCTTACTAAGGATGTTAAATATAGGTTAATTGAATACTTTATTAACCTAATGAATTTTTATCAGTTAGTCAACTGCACAGCCACCTCAACTTACGACCATTCACACTTATGACCAAAGCAGTCGTAAATGCAGGCTCCAAGTTACGAACGCGATCCGCGCTTACGAACAGCGCGGTCTCAGTGTAACTCAATGGGTTCTGAGATACGACCATTCCGAGTTACAGCCAAGCGTTTGGTCCGTAACACGTTCGTAATTCAGGGACCGGCTGTATTCTGTAGTCCCTGGGGACGAGACAGCAACCTGTGCGCTCCATCCCCGCTCCTGAGGAGCCCCCTGCCACGCCGCGCTGCTGCCTCTCTGTCAGAGGCAGCAGTATGGGGTGCCAGGTGGGAGTTGGTCCACAAGGGGAGCCAGTTTAAAAACCAGCTCCCCTTGCAGACTGGCTGCCTGTCACCCCACGCTGCTGTACAGCACAGGGTGGCAGCAGACCCTTGTCCAGGGAGAGGGGCAGGGCTGAGCTCCCAGACCCTGCGCGAGCCGGAACTGAGCCGGGCCACCTGCCTGCCTGGGTCATAATACACTTTAAATGCAGAGCCACAGCAGGGTAGGTCCTGGATCTAGTACGAGCCAGGACTGAGTCGGACTGCTGGCCAGCCTGCTAAAAAATTGGTGGGTGGAGGAGAGGAGAAATGGGTGTAGTCTATAGCATTAACCTATAAGCTTTTGCTAATCGGTTAATCAACTACACTATTACATCTCTAAATCATACCCACCCATACTTAGTGTTATGTTCTGGGGGACAGATATTTCTTTTTTAACCATATTATTTCCACCTGTATTGGTACAAATAAGAAAGTGAAGTAATTTCCAACACCAAAGAAACATTACATTTCTTCCTAAGTTACTTAAGCTATATTTTGTATCTTAATTTTTGTTCCAAAATATTGCCTGGAAATAAGGTGCGTGTTAATTGCAGAACGACTGTTCTTTCTGTAATCTGTGTTTTGAAGTTAATGATGAAAATATGCCAGGTCGCTTTGGACTCTACCTGCTTATCTCCTTCTTCCTAAATACAGGATTGCTTTCTGCAATATATTCTCAAGGGCTTTGACCATCCAGTTTTCAGTGGCTCAAGCAGATGCTTTTATAGTCTGATATTTATCTTTATTAGGATGTTTCAAGATATTCGGGTATATAGCCTGAAGTTTTTGCTCTGTTCAGTTCTGTCCTGATGCTTGTATTTAATAGGGAAGTATGCGAGTAGTTGAGTCGGATTCTTGAGTACTCGCACCCCCCCTTCCGCCTCTGTATTGGGAGGGGAGTGGAGGAGCTGGCTTAAAAGTCAGTTCCCCCTAGCACCATCTCTGATAGAGGACCGATCAGATATCATGGCGATGGACATGGTATAGATTAAGGATGTTAAAATGCAGTTAATTGACTAGTCAGCTAGTCAATGGAATTTCCGTCGACTAGTCGATAGGCACTTTCACATTTCTGCTGGGGCTCTTGTACATTTCAAAGGAGGAATGGGGAACTCCGTGTACAGCCTGGGGCCAGCAGGAAGTCCTGCTAACTCCAGGATACATGCGAGTGCCTTCTTTGAAATGCACAAGAGTCCCCAGCGGGGGCTCTTGTGCATTTCAAAGCCATGGAGCCCGGGGTCAGCGAGGGACTCCAGGGGTCAGCTGAGGAAATGCTGCGGGAGCTCGGGATTAGCTGGGGAGTCCCCAGCTGATCCTGGGCTCCAGGCAGCTGCCCCTTTGAATAACATAGATGCATGGTTTAAAGGGACAGCCTCCACACAGCTGATCCGCGGAAATGTCCCCAGCTGACCCCGGGTTCCTAGCAGCATGCAGCGTAGCATGGAGCCCAGGGTAAGCAGGGGACTCTTAAGTGGGGGCTCTTGTACATTTCAAAGGAGGAAATGCTTATCGGATAGTCGACTAGTCTTTAACATCGTTAGTATAGATATCTGAACTGAAGCTAGACTGAGGAGGCTTGTGTTGTCTTTCATTTTATTTGCTTCATGATCAAAGCACCTTGACTGCTGTTTTTTACCCGCTATGTTGACACATACTGGATATTGAATGTATATCAAGCAATGTTGACACAACTTTGATAATATTTAACTGTTGCACATGCATAAAAGATGGTAATATCTGGCAGCAAGGCAGAGAAACCCAAGATAGACCTCTCACCTTCTCACTGATCTTAGGTCCCAGCCAAGACTTGCTCCCGAAAGCACCAAATGACTCTACCGATAAGCAGGAAGACACCAAAGCAGTGCAAGGGTGCAATGGAGTTAATGCTGAAGCCAGCGTGATGGTGTCAGGACTCAAAGACCCTGACGCTAGTGAAGGGAACTGTCAATATCCAGCCCCCAAGGAGGGACATGCAGCAGTGGCTACCCCTGTGTCAACAGAAGAACCTTCCCCCTCCTACCCTCTGGAGTTTGAGAAGTTCTGGAAGGCAGCTCAGGAGAATCCTCATGATTTCACGGCATGGACAGAATTGCTGCAGTATGTAGAACAAGAGGTAAGGGAGTGAACTTTCTTGGTGCATGGAGTTATGAAAAAGGCAATGAGGAAATTAACAGTAGTACAGGTGCCACCAGCTTCTGAAGTTAATATTTCTACAAAGTAATAGCAGCTCCTTTAATTTAGAACACAGAAATAAGTTGTCTAATGGTTAGAACTGGATCCTGTACTGAGAGGACTTTTGGGTTCTGTTCAGATCATAGCTGTGGGAGAAGATAGGGATGTAAAGGGTTAACTGGTTACCTGGTAAGCAAGTGCCTTACCAGCATGCTGGGGTAACTGATTATCCAGCGGGGGGCTGGTCTCAGCCAGAGTAGCCCCTGACCTGGCCAGAGCAGCCCATGGTGTGGTGGGCCCAACAGCGGTGCTCTGGCCAGGCCAACTGCACGGTGACTGGAACAGCCCATGCCATGGTGGGCCGGTCTGGAGCAGACCTCCACAGTGGGATCTCAGTTAGCCAGATAAGCATTCTGTTTAACCAGTTAACTTTTTAACTGGGATTTTACATCCCTAGGAGAACAGTAGGGTCCAGTGATTAAAGCAATGTGGAGAAGAGGAGTAAGGACTCTTGTATTCTATTCCTGGCTGTCAGAGGGAATTGAATAGTTAGAGTGGCAGATAAGGGACAGGACTCCTAGGTTCTGTTCCCAACTAGGGATGTAAAATCCTGTTTAATTGGTTAACTGATTAAGAGGGAAGGGGCACCTACCATTAGGGATGTGAATGACTAGTCAAGTAGTCGACTAGTCGTCCTCCCCTCCCCCGTTGTCTCTATCAGAAAGAGGCAGCAAGGGTTGGAAGGAGGGGGGGGTGTCGAAGCGGCACCGCTGTGTTTAGCCGAGGGCCAGCTGGGGAGTCCCCAGGCTGCATGTGGCATTTCAAAGTGGCAGCACCACGTGGAAGGATCAGCTGAGGACTCCCCCCGCTGACCCTGGGCTCTGTGTGGTGCTGCCGCTTTGAAATGCTGCATGGAGCCTGATGCTGGGCTCTCCTCGGCATTTCAAAGCAGCAGCACTGCACAGAGCCCGGGGTCAGTGGGGGAGCCCCCAGCTGATCCTGGGCTCCATGGGGCGCTGCCACTTTGAAATGCTGTGGTGAGCACAGGGCCGGTGGGGAACTGCCCTGCTGGCTCTGTGCTCCTCGCAGCACTTTCACTTTTGCAGTGTAGCAACAGCCCTGGGGTTGTTTCTTCACTTCGAAGGCTGAGGCGCCCTTATCAACTAATGGAATAGTCATTGCAAATTGCATTGACTATTCAATTAGTCAATAAAAATTTAACATCCCTACATTCCCCCACCCCTTCCCCTGCAGACTGGGGCTGCTCCATAATGGCCCCCAGTTAACCATTAACATCCCTATTCCCAACTCTGCCACAGACTTTTGTAGTGTTCACCTGTCTGTCTGTTTCCTCATTTGTAAGATGAGTCACTTTTGTGCAGCACCTTTTGCTTCAAACTAATTACAAACCATCTTAAAGTCTGCTTCATTCAGTCTTGCCACAAACAAATGCAACCTCTTTGAATTCTCTAGTGTTAACTTGCTTTGTCAAGGGCTAGATTTGTTCTAGCCCATTTGATTAATTTTGATGGGATAATTCTTAAATAGGTATCAGTACTAATTAGAGGTTTAATGTACCTCTCCTGCATCCTCAGATGAAAGATAAATTGCCATGTGAAAGGGAACTCAGATAATATGGAATAGCCTAAGACTTTCTTAAAATTGATGGTGTTTCCCTTTAAGAATGTGGTAGAAGTGACTCCCCCAACTTCTTATATTGTAAAATCCAAATTAGGTTTTGTCAAATGCTGAGTAAGAGCAATATGTTCTTGTTCGAAAACTTTCAGTTGAAACTGGTTTTAATGGGACATTGTGTTTTTGGTTAAAATAAACTTTTTGAGAAAAGTGTCTGCTGTCTGTGTGTAAATGTTTGGTGTGTGTGTGGTTTGTTTTTTTTTGTCCTCTGCTGTCTGTGTGTAAATGTTTGGTGTGTGTGTGTGGGTTTTTTTTTTGTCTTTTGTCAAAAATAAACACCCCCTCTAGTTTGTAGTTGGACAATATTTTCTGAGATACACAAGGTTAATGCAGCTACCATGGTGCACAGTGTCCCCTCACAAATAGGGATGTAAAATTGTAACTGTTTAAATGGTTAACTGAAAAGCATGAGCTTGTTGGTTTCTGTTACAGTTATGTGCTGGCTCCCTGGGAGTTGGCTTCACTGCATAATGCAGAGCCTGCAGTGTAGGGATATAAGCGACTAGTCAACTATCCAATAAGCAAAAGCTTATTGGATAGTCGACACATTAGTCGACTAGTCACTTACCCCCCTTACTGTCTCTATCACAGAGGCAGCAAGGGGGGGGGAAAGGAAGGAGTGCTGGGGGGAGCTGGCTTAAAAGCCAGTTCCTTCCTGCTCAGTGGGATGGGGTAGGGGTGCAGTGGCGGTGCTTCCTTTTTGAAATGTACAAGTTTTTGCATTTCAAAGATTGAAACATTGGGTGGAGCCAGGACCAGTGGGGAATCCCCTCCTGACCTCTGGCTCCATGCAGCACTTCCGCTTTGAAATGTACAAGAGCCCCAGGCAGGGCTCTTATGTGTTTCACTTACAATGCCGCATGGAGCCTGTGGTTAATGGGGGACTCCCTGCTGGCCCCGGACTCCACATGGCATTTCAATATTTGAAATGCACAAGAGTCCCCAGTGGGACTTTTGTACATTTCAAAGTCGGAACATGGACTAATCGAATAGTTGATGGAAATCCCATCGACTATTTGATTAATTAATTGATATTTAACATCCCTACTGCAGTGAATCCTCCCTGGGAGTGGGACCAGCAGCACCTGCCAGCCCCACTCCTGGGGAGTCTGCTTCCCTGCAGGCTCTGCAGTATAAACTCTGTGCGTGCGTGCGTATATGCATATATATTTATATATTCTTCTATATAAGCTTTATAGTGCAGTGCCCGAATGACTTCTTACATCCTTACTCACAAAGAGGGAGAGACTGCAATGCATCATGGGAGTTATCTGACTAAGGAAACCCATCCTATGAAAGAGAATTTCAGAACTGAAACACAAATGATACTGTGTGTGTATGTACCCTGCTTCTCCTACAAGCTCTAACTGTAAGGTTGCTTTGGGGCTGGCAGGGTTTGGTTTCCAGCTCTCCCAGTTCCAGGGCACTTCACACATTCTTATTCCCCTTCTGCTGTCTTCTCTCTGTGCAGAATCACATCTTTGCAGCACGAAAAGCCTTTGATGCGTTTTTTGCTCACTACCCCTATTGCTACGGCTACTGGAAGAAGTATGCAGACATGGAGAGGCGTTTTGACTTCAGCAAGGAGACAGAGGAGGTAGGAGGAAGAATTACTTGGGATTTTTGCACCATGCTACTGCAGCCCTTCCAAGTTTGAATATTCCAGTGGCTAATTCCTTGTTGTATGGACCAAATGTAATAGGGCCAAAAATTCTTCACAAAGCTAGTGCAAAAGATCCTCCTTATCTGTCACAGATATTTTGGTAACTATTTA